CATCTACTTGCAAAAATGTAGAAAGCATGATGCATTTCAGATTCATGTTTGTTTCCACATTTATAGTGGATGAAATGCAAAATCGGGATGTTTCACAAGCATGGGCAAGCATAAGAACTAACATATTGTTTAACTGAAATGTAACATCCTTTTGTGCTTGTATACCAAAAGGATTATAAAATAAAACCAAAACACAAACACAAATTTCCAAAGAGCTATGTGTGGGCTGAAGACCGCTTTTGTTCTTTTTTACTATTTTAGATGTAATGCTTTTTCAAAAAGTTAATAATGCCTTTTTCTTGATCCATGAAAAAGAGCAAACAGTCGCTTGCAGCTGTTTTATTTATCCATTTCTTGTCTTGCATTTTTGTCACTTTGTATTCCCATCTACTATTTTAATTTTTTTTTTTTTTTTTGACCTTGCACATCTCCTATTTTAGGCATCATGAATGTTTCTTGTACTTTTTAATGGTAAAGACTATTCATTCAAGTAATAAGTTTCATTCTTTATATTTACCTCAAATTTTTAAATTGTCTTGGCTTCTCTGAACCCTAAAAATACCAGTTGACATTTGAAAAGAACCTTTGCCAAGTAGGCATTTAAAACTATGGATTACAAAAGCGCTAAGATGTCACTGCAATGAAGGGAACTAGGTGCTTTCAAAAATCCCATTAAGCCATTACCTGTATCTTTAAATTCCAAATCAGTCATAATTAAAAATCTGCTCTTAGCAGAATTAGTCTCAAGCTAATGCATAATATTTAAACATATTTACAACAAATATCTAGTGTAAAAACCATATATCCTTGAAATACTCATTCTACCTGTCCTCCACAAGTTCTGAGCTCACTTAGCTAGTCACAGTACCGTACATGTCTTTTTACTAGTAGTTTTAGGATTACAGACCTTACTAAAATGTATGACAAATACAAATTTGTAAGTATTACAGGCACTTCATTCTTAAATTCTGTCAGAAACCAAACACACACAACTTGCTTTTCAGACGCCAAAACTTATTTTTTCAGACAGCTTGCCTTTGGACAAGTTAATCAAAAGAGAAACTCTCAGACTATCTGATGAAGACAGCAAGTCTAATAACCAACAAACTACAAAATACTTGAGGAAAGTGTTTTTCTCCCAGTAGAAAAAGGTTTCTGGAGAGCAGGGGGAGGAAGATAGGTGGGGGACATACGAGTATTCATCTTCAAGCAATTTTCCCTTCCTGGTATTCCATGAATCTATTCCCAACAAGAATTTGCACAGGAAAGAGCTTGAGAGTTTGTTCCAAATCCCTGCACCACCTTCAGCCTAAATTACTTTTGAAGCAGAAAAACCGTAGGACAGAACCCCAAAAACTACCTATAAATTCTGTTCCTCTGTTTGTGGAAATATACAGTGCAGAGCTCCCTTTTTAAACTACATCCAGAGAAAGTCTTTCAGCAGTTACCCAGCAGACAGGTTCCCAAAGAGGCATTTACACCTTGTGAGACTCTCCACAGCTGTCAAAGGGCCAATAGTCATGCATTCTCTGCTGTTCTCTCCTCCTGCAACTCATGTATCTGTACTTGTCTTCCTATTAAATTTTGGCTTTCTTAACTTTTACTACTTTTCTACTCTTTCTTCCTGCTTCTTCTTGCTTTGTCTTTCCCTGCATCTCTCTTTCCTTTTTATTAGCTGATCCTCTTTTTCCTTCCTTTCCATTTTTTCTTTCTTTTTTCCCCTAATTCATCTGTTGCATGACTTAGCCCATATTGTAAGCACAGTTTCAGTGATGCAGTTTTAAAACTGGAGGAGATGGCTGTGGTGGAAAAAGCATACAACTAGGGACCATAATTCCTGCTAAAAAAAAGATCTATGCTGAGAGGATACAAAGGCTTGTGGTATCACTTTTGAGTTCAAGTAACACTGAATCAATATGTTATGGAGGCACATCACTCACTCACAAAAAGCACTCGGCACAAAGCCTCAATAAAGACATAATGTGTTCAGCAACAACTGTTTCAGCCCAATAACTCTCTTCAATCACCACACGAAAAGTGGTAAGACAGACATAGGCAGTTGTGAAAGATGTAGGCTATGTAAACAAATGGCAAACACATTTGAGCCTAGCTATGTGCAAGTAGTAAACTACAGAAGAAAAATGTGAAGTCTCAGTATATTTTCAAAACTGGCAGAACAGATCTGGAAAGGTAACGCATAAATAGAATGTTTCTATAGGGGGGCACAGTTTATTCACAAAGGACAAAAAAGCATGGTGTTGTACTGTGTATCAACAATGTGTAAAATCCTGTGATCCAGACTGTAGGCAGGCAGATTGCTGGAAATCTCTGGATAACAGCAGACCATTAAAAATAGGAAGACAAACTACATAAGCCCTTTCTTTTTTTGAGAATAATGTCATGTCTGGGCAGGGCTTTTTTATTTATTTTTAACAGGGGGATAAGAATGTAGATAGAGACATAGCTGCTTGTCCTGCTATATTTCTAATTAGTTAGAAAGATGGCTTTTAGAAGTTTGAAAATGTAAAGGTAGAAGATAATTTGGGCAACAGTACTCATGAAACACACAGTTTACAATTCTTGTAACAGCAGAATGAAAGCAATGAACTTCAAGAAAGACATCAGCTGGGAAATAGGATAAAGTGAAGGTAAGGAGGTCTTTAATCGTATTGTTAATTTTTCCTGCAAGAACACTACAATTTCGTAGAAACAAAATCAGAAAAAGCCAAGGAACAAAGGGAAAGAACTATAAAAGAAAATAAAGCAAATGTCTTCATACTTGCATTATTTGTACAAAATTGATCAAAGAAACAATTAATCCACAACACCACAAGCTATTTTCTTGAAGTACTTTTGTACTACTTCAGTGCATAGCTAAAAATGAGGTGTGATTAGATGGAAAAAACAATATCATTGACAAAAAGGCTGTTATTTCCATGAGATGTTAGGTTGTACAATAAAACTTATCTGTATACCCACGAAGATGCTCAGAGAGACAATGGCAGGAGGGGGAGCCCAAATAATACCCTGCGGGGCTACTCCCAGGTCCACCACAGGAGCCATCAGACCATCAAAAGCCAATCTGCACAAGCCCAGAGGAGCATAGGGGCATGCAATGGCAGGCGGGAATCCAAATCAAGGACTCCCAAGAACATTCATCAGCTGTTGCTTTATGTTGGAGAAACTAAGCTGAATGTTAGTAAAAGAGTATCAGTGATTAACAGACGTGCCTTGTTTACTGAAAAGTTCCTTATTGACTACATTATCCTCAGTTACTTCACTGGGAAAAAAAAAAAAGGAAAAAAACACCAAAAAAAAGCTGAAATTCCAACTTCCCTGTGCAATTACAGACAGGTTTTTTTAGAAGCTTACACACATACATGTTACTGTTAAAGTATGTGGAAGCTGACACTAAGTACAAGGATGATTTTCAACAAGGCATGATACTAAATTTTACACAAAGGTCTTCCAACAAAAGGTAGTAGACTTACAGAATCAACCAAGCCAAGAATTAGGGCAAAAGGGTAGACAGCAATCATTTCATAGCCTTGAACTCAAAGCTGCCTTCATCTAGTTAATGTGAAGTACAACAACAGAAGTATAAAATTTACCAGGTCAAGCATTAAGCCACAAACAAGAGAAGACCGAAACAAGAGTACTATACTGCTCATTTATTTATTGTAAGTACTTAAAATGTGTGCTCCAGATTTCTATTCTGCAGATACATTGTTAGCACGGTTGTATCACAGTTCATTGAACTGAAAGACTGAAACATGTCAAATGATGGAACAGGTTAGTTTGGAACTACCCCTGCAAACCCTAAGACCATCTGAAATGATCAAATGACTGTATTTTCACACTCCTCTGAGGTGTGGATTGTAAGACTACTACCTCCAGAAGTACCAGTACTTGAAAATAAAACCTCACAATCTCAACCTTAGGTGACCCACACAGAATCAAGGAATGAAGAGAATCAATGACTTTTGGGAAAGGGGGAAAAACTGAGCACTTAAAACAGTTATTCCAAGGGTTACACACCTGAAAATACAACAGTTCTTTTGCACCAACAGATCAACACAGCTTTAACTTTAAAGAGCAAGAGGACTGAAAAAGGAAAATAGGACTGAGAAAAACAGGACTGATAAAGACTTCCAGTGCTAGTCTAAACTACCATTTTGCTTCAAGTCATGATTTACTACATCTGAATCATTCTCCGAACACATTCTCCAAGACTGGTAATGACGGAGATTCCAAAAGATCTCAATTATTCTTGTTATGTGTTTATTCACAACAGATAAACAATAATGGGTCTAAACAATAGTGGGTCTAAATTATTCTAGCCTGCATGAAAATATAAAGAGGAAAATATATTATCTTCTTCTGGATGACCTTTATGCACTTGAAGACTGTGGTCTCCTCCATAAAATGGTCAAAATCCTTAATTTAATCCCCAAATCAATGGGTGTTTTGCAAAAGGATGACAGGTAAGCTGTTTCATTTTTTATATCATCATCTCTGAGACTTGCGTATCTTCAGCAATTTCACAATAGTTAAGTAACATTTATTTATGAAACTGAATGAGAAACATCTGCAGACCTTTAAAAAAAATTCAACGTTTGCCATTGATTAATAAAGCCCTTAATAATCCAGTATTTTTTATATCCTCCTACAGCTTCATCTCTGAATGATCTTAAATTACAACATTGCACCATATAAGGTAGCAAGGGTGGATGTTTCAGATGAGGGAGACATGGAAAAATTATCCTGTATGGGAAAATTAAATGCATCCAGAAATTGGTGCCAAGGAGTGAAGCTGGGTGGCTTAGCTTACATCCTGGATTTTAAGCATAAGCTATAAATACCCATATACACACAAAAAACATTCTGTCTGTTAACTACTGTAAGTAAAAACCTGGATTTAAAGAATATAGTTGTATGCACATTCACTAGCAGTGCTCTGTACCATAACAAATACTTAACCAAAAGCATCACATATTTACCTGAAGTTTGGAAAACCTCATTCAGTAAAGCTTCATTTACCACCACCGAACTGACGTTTCCAACAGCATGACACCAGCTCTGATAAATAGTTTGAAGCAGAAGAGTTTGAGCTCTAGTGGCTTGAACTGTCAAATTAGGAAGCTCAAATATGCATTCTGTTAGTGGGACATGAGCTCGCTTGGTCCTGTTTAAAATATTGAGAGAGAAAAAGGAAAATAATTATTTTGGTGCATAAAAATAACAATTTAAAAACTTACCAGACTATAAGCAGTTAGTTTGTAAGGTGGAGCTGTGTGCCTGTTAGATTTCTTCTTGTAAGAGCTGATTCTACTTATACTGAAATTCACCCTAAACAGGACTTCTGTTACATGATTTAACTTTGTATCTCCCTCCAAAACATGAGAGGAAAAATAATATATTTTCTTTTAATTATCTCTTGGTTTTAAAATATTTAATAAAAGCAATTCCAAGTGCTCCCACCAAAATAAGAGCTACTCATAAAATCGTGCAGTTATTAAAAACATAGAAGAAATCTGTTCAAAAATTGAATTTTCTGAAAAATTATTTAAAAGCTTACAGTGAATCACTAAATGAGATATGTCCAGTAATCCAAAAAAACATACAGATGATATCCATACAACAAAATACAAACAAAAAGACCCACATTCCATATTTCTCCTCATATTCCATATTTGGCTGACATAGAGCTCACTAAGTGATTCTAATATTTTTCAATGCCTTTTATCTTATAATTGGGGAGGAGGAACAAGTGGGGCAGGCATTGGGAGGGTAGTGCAAAGGTACAGGACATTCTATTTGGAAATAAATTCTTCTGTGACAATAGAGTCCACTATCAACAAGAAGGCTCTACCACAACTATAACAAAGTCAGTAAGTTACTTTTTCTTCCTAATATATACACTATTACCTGAAATTAAGCAACAGATTGATTTGCTACATTCAACAAAAACGGCAAAGGTTCTTTACAATTCTCATTTTGGAGCCTCTTCCTGCAGCATATTTACAATATTATTATTCTTGCCCTAATCACCTCCTGCTCCATCACCGAAACATACTTTTTGTGCTATTTAGCATTACTTTCTCTAGTGTCCCCAAAATATAATCACTGATGCACAGACTAGCTCATTCTTATTCTGGAGAATCTCCTCCATTAAAGATTTCAGGGACAAGCCTAAAGCCACATGAAAATTAACAATATTAGGTTAATGTTCCATTGGGAATCAGAACCTCAAATGAGGGAAAGCTGCTGAAGCTGCTCACACAATGCCTTAGCCCAGGAAAAAAGCATCCTTTACCAAAATGTTCAAGGGACTGAAAGTGTAAAGACATTCCCTTGCAGACACTGAATGGCTCTTTAGATCAGCAAAATCAAAACCTTCCAAGGAACTGTCACAGGCAGTCACAATACACTGTGTCTCCTATCTGGCTCCACAAGAAAATGCTTGCAACCGCATGACCTAACATACATGAGATCATACTAGCAGTAGAGACTCTGCAGGAGTCAGAAACAGGCTATTCCTCATGCTCAAACTCTAAGATCTGTACCAGCATGAAGTGACACAAAACTCTGGTAGTAAGCAGTAGACTTCCTTGCACATCTGCACCATGATTATTATCATCTAGATGAAGAAGTAGAATAGCAAAATATTCTGCTGCTAGCACTTTTGGCCCATAAGCTGCAGATAAGGCCTGCGTGACATATGAAACGTGGTTTGGAAACAAGCATTCTGAAAATCAGAAGACATGTATCTACTACCATGTTGACTCGGTGGTACAGCCAAAGGTAATGTCATCACTTTGAATTTGGACTTGAACATATAAGCATTCACTTTAAGTCACAAACAGATCTCCTCCCTCAATTCCTTGTCAATACAAGGAAACAGCGAACTGAAAACCATTTTCTCTTGAATAAGAGGACTTAATTTCATCAAGTGTTAGACACCTACAGTATAAACAAACATCCATATCTAAGATGGCTGTATAGACCCTTTTAAGGTAAAAGGAAAGAAAACAGCACTTATATATGTAACAGAGATCCATTCATTCTAAGCCTGAGGATTAAATGAACTGCTTTCTGCAGGTCACTATTTCTGCCCACTGCCCATAAAGGGAGATTAAGATAATTATCACAGCTATGGATGTCTACACCATAGATCAAGGTTTCATAGATAAAGCCCACCCACAAAAGCCAATTCCATTGCTCCTCACTAAAAATAAAAACAAGTGAATAAAAGAAAAATTGATTCTTATGAAAGAAGATACTCATGAAAGAGTCTCAGAAAACGGATGTAAATACAGATGGAGGACAAAGAACAAACAAGAAGAGATGTTGTAGCTTTCTATAATAGTAATCAGTATTCTTTAGACCAAGGTTTTTCAACCTCATAAAGCTTGGAATCAGGATTACCCGTCTCAAAATGTTGAGAAGAAGGGGGAGGAAACCAGCAACAAGACTGCCTCTGAGCTGCAACTCATTTGAAGCTAATGACACAACTCTGCTGCCAGCTTCAATGCCATTTGCAGAAAAAACATGGATGAAGGAAAAACATTTTATGATTATATGGGAGAACTTAGCCTTGTGTCCTGTACTATAAATTTCCTTCAGAATGAAAAATAAAAAAAGTAGTCTACTGTTTGAACGAAACTATCAGTGTTTGAAGTTTGGAACTACCGTATTTTGGATCGGTACAGCCTCTGTTGCTAGGAAAACTAAAACTCATCAGAGGCCTTTTCAGAAAATATCTTATATTAGCCTTGTTTGTTTATTGGGTTTTTTTTTTAACAGCAGTCACTGACACCGAACAGTGAATTAGAACAAGAAAAATTACATTTGTCCTGCTTGGGGGAACTAAGCATCTCCTACCCACCTTTTCTGCTGACAGCCATGTAAAGATCTTTCTAGAGTACATGAGCAGACCACATGCTGGCCTCGCTGCCTGAGACCACTACTCTATCAACTGCAGCACAATAGGTCACCAAAGGGGTAAGAAATATCTGTACAAAACTCCTGAAGCTCTTCCTGTCTCTCAATTTGAAGTTCAAACACACCACACCTTTCCTGAAAATGTTCTTCTCCCAAAAAGTACAAATACTACATGTGGCCATCTAAGAAAAGAATGCATCCAAACACATTTGAAATCTGTTGGTGCAAGAAAGCCATTTAAAAAAACATTTTTGTCTACACTTCAAAAAATAAGCTAGTCAGAAAATTAGAACTACTTTAAGGAGAGACAAAACAAAAGCTGAAAATAATACTAGTATTAAGTAGGGAAAGATGCTGCCTTGGTTAAAAAAAAACCTAAAGAAAAACACTTTGACTCAGATAGACAGCCAAAAGGAACTAACAGCCTGGAACATATTCTGACAATTTCTAACACACAACACGCACGAGAGGTGACGAAGATCACTCTTTTGTGGACACAGTTAGATAAAACCTATCACCCACTTCAGCTCCTCAGATACACATACATTCCTCCATATAAATGTACATATATCCATATAGTCACTAAAAGAAAAGCTCTGGATTCCATGAAAACCACAGGTGGAGACTGCAACACTGTGCCCTTTCTAATGCTGGTTCCAAGTTAGAATTTGAACTTGCTTTCCTAGAATTTCCTACAGTGTAAGTCCAAGCTCTGTAATTCATCAATTTAAGCAGAAAAGGTGTGCATAACTAAAGAAGTATATAAGGTGATTCTGTACTTAGGAAAATCCATCCTTGTAAAACAAAATGCTATATACACAATAAATTAAAAAATTATTTTAGAACTCAAGATTAAACAGACGGCACAAACCATTTACTTTTATGTAGAATTGAAGTTGGAAAACTAGATATGCGTGTTAGCAAAGCTTTTGCAGGCATTACATGGAAAGAAGTGTACTGCATAGTGATATCAATCAGAATGTTTCCTAGTATTCTTTTTTTTCAAGCCATGTATTGTGATCTTTTATTATTTATCTCATTGAAGAAGTGCACTGTAACATTTTTCCTTTCTGTCCTTTTCCTTTCTGTTCTTTTTCCTTTTGTTATCCTTTCAGATAACTTACATTTTCTACTTTTCCCTCTTATTTCTGAATATTACTTTGCAGGATTAAAACTGCAATAAATTTAAAAAAAAAATTTTTCAGAAAAAAGCATCTGAATATTTCAAAAGACGGGATCCCTAATGTAAAATTGGGAAGGAAGGTAGAAAACCTTTTTCAGCAAAATTCAGGACGAACATTCAGGACTCCGCAATAATTCCATCTAAAATAACACATTTGTCTGTGAAGAGCTGTGACAATCACAGCATAAAATATGACAGTGGAAAAGATTTTGCTTTAAAAGTTTGACTATTCATTTAATACATATTACAGCTACTGTACGGAACTATGCTAAATTTAAAACTTAAAAATTTCACATAAAATAGTCCCTTGTGGGTAATAACAGTGTATGAATTTTTTTTTAACAATATGCAAATTCTACGCTTATTATACTTAACAGTCCCATAGGAATAAAGTCTACTGGTCCTTCTCAGATAACTTTGGAGGAATGGGAAGTTGAAGAAAATAAATCCTTTTTTATAGAAAAAAAGTAAATCAAGGTGGGGGGGAAGTGTTGTACCATGTGTGCAGCAAATGTTGCTTAAAGGAAATTTTAACTAGACCTGGCTAGTGATGAAAGTACATTTATAATTCAGGATTTATTATAATAGTTTTGAAACACAAATAATGCATTTAAAAGAACTTAAAATACAAGTTTGCTACCAAACTGCACCTGTTAATACAGAAAATCCATCATTAATAAGGTAGTGAGCTATATTTAACCACGTTTTATGACCCAAGAGATATATTCAAGCAATAAGTGAAAATACAAGTACAAATAATTTTTTCAGTAAACCCAGTCAGATCTGTGTTTCTATACTGTATCATTAAATTCATATTAAGCAACTGAATGTGACTTCATATCAAAACTCATCACCATATTAAAACAGTTATGACACATAGTTGGAGTCTAAAACCACTATTTAAACTGCACTTTAAAACTGTAACAACAATAGAAATAATTATTTCTCAAATCTTTACACTCAAGAGTTAAGATGCAGTTCTGAACATATGTTCATTTAACTGAACAGGTTAAAAAACTACCAATTCAAACACTCTTCTCTAGGGGAAAATAAATCCT